TTCATTTTATGCTGCAGGTACTGCAGCATGAACTTCCCTGTTTAGTGGCTGTGTAGACTATGTTGCCTTTTGGTAAAGAACTTAAGCTATGGAGTCGGGTAGAATCGGATCCTCTTTCTCACTGTCGAGTGACCTTGGTCAGGTTACTTAACCACCTTATACCTTAATTTCTCTTTTTTCAAATTTGGAGTAATAACAGTACTTAACTCTTTCGAGTTGCTGTTAGATTATATAGTGACTGGCATGTAAATATTCAGTAAATAACGGCTATTATGATACATATATATTTGCATTCTTATGCAGATGTTTCTATAGGAAAAAACAAGTTAGAAGTGGAATTCCCAAGTCAATAGTATACAGACTTGCATTTTGAAATTAATCTTTACCAATGTGATATGAAAAAAAATCACTGTTTTAGTTTGCATTTCCATTTATGAGTAAAATTAGATGTCACTTGACTCGTTTGTTGGCCTTTTTGTATTCTATTAATTGCATTTCATGTCCCGTGACCGTTTTCTGTTTTGTACATTTTTTAAAGTTGATTTATTAGGTCTCTTTGAATGTTATGTAAATCAGCCCTTTGTCATATGTGCTGAGTATTTTTTTCAAGTGTATCATTTGCCTGTTAACTTAAAATTCTATTTTTCCCCTAATTCTATGTCCCAGTTTTGGTTAGTGTGCTCTGGGATTTTTGACCCATTCCATAGTAATAGTTATTATTACTGCTACCACTACAGTAAATTCTTACAAGAACTTTCCATGTCTTTTTGGGAGGAGGAGGAGGAGTTATATTCAGGATCATATACATAATTGTTTAGCTTCAGTTCTGTGTTTATATGTGTCACTTGTAACGGACTGTCATATGTTCTGAGAAATACATTCTCAGGAAATTTTTGTCATTGTGCCAGTATCATAGAGTGTACTTATAAAAACCCAGGCTATATGTTGTAACCTATTGCTTCTAGGCTTCAAACCTGTACAGCATGTTACTTTACTGAATATTGTTGGCAGTTGTAACACAATGATAAGTATTTCTGTATCTAAACATAACAAAATATACAAAAGGTACAGTAAAAATAAGTTTAAAAAAAAAAAAGGTACACCAAAACAATTTTATGGGACCACTGTATATGTGGTTTGATGTCATCATGCAGTGCATCACTGTACTATAAATGCTTACGGCCAGACTTTTTTTTTTTTTTTTGAGACAGAGTCTTGCTGGAGTGCAGTGGTGTGATCTCCGCTCACTGCAAGCTTCGCCTCCCGGGTTCACACCATTCTCCTGCCTCAGCCTCCCGAGTAGCTGGTACTACAGGCACGTGCCACCATGCCCGGCTAATTTTTTTGTGTTTTTAGTAGAGACGGGGTTTCATCATGTTAGCCAGGATGGTCTGGATCTCCTGACCTCGTGGTCTGCCCCCCTCGGCCTCCCAAAGTGCTGGGATTACAGTTGTGAGCCACCACGCCCATCCTGGCCAGCCCTTTCATCCAATGGTTTTCCCATTCCTGTGTCTTTATGTTGAAAACAATTTTTTTCCCCCAGTACATCAGCATTTGTCAGTTTTTAGAATAAGTTTTAAGGATTAGATTTTCCAAACAACTTTAAGCAGTTAATGAAAACGGAAACATACTTTCTCCAGTCTGAGAGGAACTAACAATTTCTTGTTGCTGACCTCCATCTGTTAGTCAATGTGCTTGGCTTCAGGACAGGCTGTTCTCTCCTCCACTTGAGGGATGCCAGTTATTAAATCTCCACTAATGTCTGTGTTTCATCAGAGGCTGATTTCTTTGTTTTGCTCTTTTGACTAGGAAGGAAATGGAGCTTCAGATCTGTCCTGGATGGATTATCTAGACCCAGTGGTGTTCTTGTTTATCTATTCCGCAAAGCCTCTGTGGTCAGAGGGAATTGTAGATCATTTTTTTTCTCTGCATTCTCTCTTTAACAAACCACTGGCAAATACTGACTGCTTTTTTTTTGGCTT